GGTATCGGGACACATCTGACGTTGGGTATCGGGACACATCTGACGTTGGGTATCGGGACACATCTGACGTTGGGTATCGGGACACATCTGACGTTGGGTACCGGGACACATCTGAACATTTTTGGGTTTCAGCACACATCTTACCTTTAATACTGTTATGAACAAGTAAATCTCATCTGTTGTATGCAGACCTTCACAGATGATATAGACAAGAGACTTTGTAACTTTGTCCCATGGGTCACTGTTTTGATATTCTGTCATTCATTTTTTGTATACTAAAAACTGCTTTCCTCTAGGCCATACCTTTGGGGACCAAAGGCTTCTGAGCAACACTCCATTAGGAAGTCCATGGGGTCGTCTCTATGGAAACAGCCATCCACAGACCAGGTGTTGGAATACATAGACCATGACCGGCTACAGAGATCATTCCTAAAGTTTCCTCTGCTACGGAAACTTCAGGTAAGAACCAATCTGTCATCTGGCATAACTGTAGAGGTAGCCACACTCATTATAACATGTTACATCTGTAATAGTTATAATATTAAACTGGCTTGTCATTTCATTGTGATATCCTAATGGAAACAATAGGATCATGAGATATGACAATTAAAAGGACATATATGTCCTTGTAATTGTCATATCTCATGATGTGCAGTAGTTGTCATGGTAACAAAAATGATAATGTTATTTTTCCTTGTAAATGTCTCTAAACTGAGTGTTATTTTCAGACAAATATTAAATGAATTGCAATTTAAAAAGGTGTTTTTGAAAAGTGTTTCATAAATAAATAAAAAATTGAAACACTTATCAGATCCTTAGTCTATAGATGCAGTGATGCTTGCATATCTTCATCAATATAGATTTTATTCTCCTGCTCTAGGCAAAATATGTCTTGTAGCAATAAAGTACACTTCAATCAGTCTCAAAATAAGGCTATGTAGATTTGTCAATTTAGCAAACTCTGCCTCAGCTTTCTGATTTGTTGTTTTGTTGACAGCCCGGTTTGCTACAGGACCTGTCGGTCTATGGGGTAGATGATGACCTCTACGACCCTTGCTTTATCCTGCCATTGTTCAGTAGTCTGTTGTCCCCAGGTAAGGAAAATAATCAGGGTTATTGGATAAAAATATATTTTAGTTACTGTGTAATCTTTGAAAGAACTGTTTACAGTTATTTGACTAATACCACATCTTTCCTCGTCACAGAATCGTATGTGGACTGTCGAAAGTTTGCAGAGACATTATGTCTAGGATACACCATCGCTGCCTTGAGTTGCCATGACAGTGGTGTGAGAGGTGTTGCCTACCATGTTCTGGCTCGGTACCTTCACCATATTGAGGGTGCGCGTTTCCCCGAACAACAACAGATATTGTACCTGGTCACCCTAATCAGAGACAGTGTGACACGCCCAAACAGCAAACTGGCCTGTATCATCACAATATTTCTCGCCAGGATGGTGTCTCTCATGTTCGTGCATGGTAGGTCAAAGTTTAAAGACTTTAGGATCAACGGTAATCTTTTTCTTAAAGACCATGTCATTGGGTATTTTATGAAGATACAAGTTAATTTGGTTCATAAAGTTACATTCTAGTGATTTGCATGTTATAGTTATAGCATACAGATTAATGACATAAAGATTAGCTGTTTACAGTACTACAATAGTGAGAAGCATTGTACAGATTAATGACATACAGATTAGGTGGTTACAGTACTACAATAGTGAGAAGTATTGTACAGATTAATGACGTACAGATTAGGTGGTTACAGTACTACAATAGTGAGAAGTATTGTACAGATTAATGACATACAGATTAGCTGTTTACAGTACTACAATAGTGAGAAGTATTGTACAGATTAATGACATACAGATTAGCTGTTTACAGTACTACAATAGTGAGAAGTATTGTACAGATTAATGACATACAGATTAGCTGTTTACAGTACTACAATAGTGAGAAGTATTGTACAGATTAATGACATACAGATTAGCTGTTTACAGTACTACAATAGTGAGAAGTATTGTACAGATTAATGACATACAGATTAGCTGTTTACAGTACTACAATAGTGAGAAGTATTGTACAGATTAATGACATACAGATTAGCTGTTTACAGTACTACAATAGTGAGAAGTATTGTACAGATTAATGACATACAGATTAGCTGTTTACAGTACTACAATAGTGAGAAGTATTGTACAGATTAATGACATACAGATTAGCTGTTTACAGTACTACAATAGTGAGAAGTATTGTACAGATTAATGACATACAGATTAGCTGTTTACAGTACTACAATAGTGAGAAGTATTGTACAGATTAATGACATACAGATTAGCTGTTTACAGTACTACAATAGTGAGAAGTATTGTACAGATTAATGACATACAGATTAGCTGTTTACAGTACTACAATAGTGAGAAGTATTGTACAGATTAATGACATACAGATTAGCTGTTTACAGTACTACAATAGTGAGAAGTATTGTACAGATTAATGACATACAGATTAGCTGTTTACAGTACTACAATAGTGAGAAGTATTGTACAGATTAATGACATACAGATTAGCTGTTTACAGTACTACAATAGTGAGAAGTATTGTACAGATTAATGACATACAGATTAGCTGTTTACAGTACTACAATAGTGAGAAGTATTGTACAGATTAATGACATACAGATTAGCTGTTTACAGTACTACAATAGTGAGAAGTATTGTACAGATTAATGACATACAGATTAGCTGTTTACAGTACTACAATAGTGAGAAGTATTGTACAGATTAATGACATACAGATTAGCTGTTTACAGTACTACAATAGTGAGAAGTATTGTACAGATTAATGACATACAGATTAGCTGTTTACAGTACTACAATAGTGAGAAGTATTGTACAGATTAATGACATACAGATTAGCTGTTTACAGTACTACAATAGTGAGAAGTATTGTACAGATTAATGACATACAGATTAGCTGTTTACAGTACTACAATAGTGAGAAGTATTGTACAGATTAATGACATAAAGATTAGCTGTTTACAGTACTACAATAGGGAGAAGTATTGTACAGATTAATGACATACAGATTAGCAATCCAAATGTATAGTACTACAATAATGAGGTGCATCGTAAGAGTATTAGCATATTGATTCAGTCAAATTGTACACCATAATATATATGAAAATAGAAATGATGAGCAACAACACCACTGAATCCTGTACAAAATGTAATGTTTGATTTACATCCCACATGCTGACATGTTTCAGCCAAAGGGAGGCCGTCTTCAGAGCACAGTTACATGATGTTTGCAACTATGGTACAATGACAATAAAGGTCATGTGACTAGAACAATAAATAATAACTGTGACGTCATCAAGTTGCTAAGAGTTACAGCCTGAAAGGGTGAAAATGTTTAGCCAATTTTGATTGGTGCATAATAGAATAAGTGCTAAATAATTTCAGTATGATGCACTTAAAGATTATATAAAAGTATCATAGTAAATGTGAATGTATGACAATATTTACAATGCAAGAGATGATTAAAGGAACAGAAAGAAGGGATAGTAAACATAAAATTAAATGCATCAAAAGTGCTCAAACAAGCAAAACTCTAAGGTTATTGTTTGTCTCTTAAGGATTGGAAATTGTAATAGAAAGAATATTAAGCACGATTAAATTGTCAGAACTGTTGTAAATAAAGTACAAGTCAATTACTTCCTTGCAGGGGCATTGAGTCTCCACCCCCCAGTTGTTACCACAATATATAGTAAGAAATTGTGTAAGTTCACAGTGTACATGTTGGTTTTGGGGGTAGGAAAAGGAGGTTGGATGATCAGGGTGATGGAGGTGAAAGTAATGTGTGATGATAATAAATGGGTGAAGTCCTAAGGAGTGTAATCAATTTTAAGGGCTGTTCTGAATCTTTAAGTCTTGCAAAGTAGTATGTTGGAACTTGTCTTTTGTGGTTTTCTTGTGCAGAGTGTGGACAATAAGGTTATACAATATTTAATTTTGTTGTTTTATGATTTTTAGATGACCACATGTACAAAGTGATGAACTACTTCCTGCTGTTGAAACCGGCCATGGACATCAGCACAGTACCCGAGTTCTACAAACTGTTCAACAGTTCTGCGTTTGAGGTATAGTGGTCAGATAACACTGAGCATTGTCAATTATCAAGGGGAAACTAACAAGAACAAATAGGACTTAACAAGAACAATTGGGACTAACAAGAACAATTAGGACTAACAAGAACAAATAGGACTAAAAAGAACAAATAGGACTAAATAGGACTAACAAGAACAAATAGGACTAACAAGAACAATTAGGACTAACAAGAACAAATAGGACTAAATAGGACTAACAGGAACAAATAGGACTAAATAGGACTAACAAGAACAGATAGGACTAACAAGAACAATTAGGACTAACAAGAACAAATAGGACTAACAAGAACAAATAGGACTAACGAACAAATAGGACTAACAAGAACAAATAGGACTAAAAAGGACCAACAAGAACAAATAGGACTAACAAGAACAAATAGGACTAACAAGAACAATTAGGACTAAATAGGACTAACAAGAACAAATAGGACTTAATAGGACTAACAAGAACAAATAGGACTAAATAGGACTTACAAGAACAAATAGGACTATAGAGGCTTTAGAAAACTGAGGAGAAATTGGAACCGGAGAAGAGTTTTCAGAGGAAATGAAATTTATGAATGTCATAGTTTTGACAGGACCGTTAAACTTTAGATTTCAGTTTTAAGCAGTCAAATAAGGGTATTCTGATATTAATTTATGTACATATAAGGATAACATTTTCTTATGTACAGTATGTTTACATTTGCATGTAGAATATAACATAGCTTGTGAGATAACATACATTTGATTAGTTAATCGCAAATACCAAATGAAAATTCTGTATCTTCTTTTCAAAATTCTGCATAGACTATTTGAAATGTGATTAAGGCTAACATTGTTCCCAGAAACCCCCAAATGTGGGGTTTTGACCCCCAAAACTGTTGGTTGTACCCCCACTTTTCAAAAACTGCGCTATGTAACTAAGTACCTAGGGGTACAGAATCTTGAAAATGTATCCGTATTCCCCCAAATCTAAAATTCATTGGGAACACTGGGCTAACAATGGTTAAATAGTGATAGAGTAGGTTTACACCGACATTTGTTCAGTGAGTATCAGCACACTGCATTATTGATATTTCTCTTGCAGTTTAAAGTTGAGAGATCCTGGATTTTGAATTTATGTAAAGACGGTCTGAGGGAGACACTGGATTACAAGCTGTTTGAGTCACGCTATGTCTTTAAACTCTTGCTCAGTTTCCATGACTCTGGTATCAGCGACAACTCAACTCAGGTAAGAGTTCAAGTATTTGTTTTAATCTTGTTTGTCCAATCACTGGAATCTAATTACTGGAATCTAATCACTGGAATCTAGTTCATGGTCATTAAATGGCATAAGACCTAAAAATAACATTGGTATCCAATTTTACAGCAAAACTAGTTTGCAGGAATGCAAAGTCAACCAATATACATGTAGTCACCAAGGCCCCATTTGTGTATCTGGTTCAACCATTTCAACCAGCTTAACCTAGAAAGAAATGACAGGCTCAGATCTGAACCAAGACTGGCCTCTGGAACATCCAGCATGTGCATATCAAGGGGTCCAGACATGCTCGACTTAAACTGAAATGCTTATTATTGCTAGTTTACATTACTTCCTGCAAAAAAATAAGCCAGTTCACATGTATATATTTAGGGTATAATATATAAAAAAAAGTGCACATAAAAAACGGGACATTCATATTCTTTTATATTTTTTTTTATTTATTTGCCACAAGACTCTGAAACTGCATTATAGCTCTGCAAGGTTGGCACAGTTCTGGTCCAAGTATATTTGTATATCATGGACATTTTTGCAAGCTAGATAAATGCCTAAAATATAGATCCTGATATATAATATCCTCATGCAAGGACTATTGACTATTAACTTTGTTGCACACAAATTATAAACTTTGCATAATTACTTAATAACCTGTATGCAAGGAATTTTGAAAAAGATTTTGAAAAATTAGCATAGAAAAGGAAATAGTCTTTTCTTTAACCAGAAAGAAATGAATGGGTAACAATATACACAATACTGTCAGAATAGCCCTGAAAGTTGAAACATTAATTTTAAAATGCACCTTGACGTCAATAGTGAAAAAGCACATTTTGAAGTTCACTTACCAAAAGAACCTGTATTTCTCTTCCAAAGCCCAACACATTCTAAAATTTTCAACCTAAAATCACTATGTAATGAAAAAGGAGAAAATTTATCCATGATTATCTATTCCAGCTTCAAGTATTGAACATACTGAAGTCAGCCTCCGTTCAAAGAACGATGACATTTTACCTGGTGAAGCAGCATGGGATATTGAGTTGGTTGACAGGTGTCATAGCCAGGTAAGCTAACTATTATCTTTATATTTTTTTTTTTTTAGAAAATTAAGGAGAATCTAATTAACAAAAGTAATCCTTGAAATTATTTCCAGCGAAAGAAAAAAATTGAACAGCAATATACCATAAGATGTATTTAGCAATTAAAGGACTGTATGAATTTGTATGGAATGCACTGTATATTACAATTGAGGTTGATGGTGCTGTACTATATCCAGTACAAATACTCTATCCTTCTGAACAGATCTACTGTACTAGAACTCTACTCTATCAGAACAGATCTAATGTACTAGAACTCTACTCTATCTGAACAGATCTAATGTACTAGAACTCTACTCTATCCTTCTGAACAGATCTACTGTACTAGAACTCTACTCTATCCTTCTGAACAGATCTACTGTACTAGAACTCTACTCTATCAGAACAGATCTAATGTACTAGAACTCTACTCTATCTGAACAGATCTAATGTACTAGAACTCTACTCTATCCTTCTGAACAGATCTACTGTACTAGAACTCTACTCTATCCTTCTGAACAGATCTACTGTACTAGAACTCTACTCTATCAGAACAGATCTAATGTACTAGAACNTGAACAGATTTACTGTACTAGAACTCTACTCTATCCTTCTGAACAGATCTACTGTACTAGAACTCTACTCTATCAGAACAGATCTACTGTACTAGAACTCTACTCTATCAGAACAGATCTACTATACTAGAACTCTACTCTATTAGAACAGATCTACTGTACTAGAACTCTACTCTATCCTTCTGAACAGATCTACTGTACTAGAACTCTACTCTATCCTTCTGAACAGATCTATTGTACTAAAACTCTACTCCATCAGAACAGATCTACTACTATACTAGAACTCTACTTTATCAGAACAGATCTACTGTACTAGAACTCTACTCTATCCTTCTGAATAGATCAACTGTACTAGAACCCTACTCTATCCTTCTCTCTATCCTTCTGACCAGATTTACTGTACTGGAACTCTACTCTATCAGAACATATCTACTGTACTAGAACTATACTCTATCCTTCTGAACAGATTTACTGTACTGGAACTCTACTCTATCCTTCTGAATAGATCAACTGTACTAGAACCCTACTTTATCAGAACAGATCTGCTATACTAGAACTCTACTTTATCAGAACAGATCTGCTATACTAAAACTCTACTCTATCAGATCAGATCTACTGTACTAGAACTCTACTCTATCCTTCTGAACAGATCAACTGTACTAGAACCCTACTCTATCAGAACAGATCTACTGTACTAGAACTCTACTCTATCAGAACAGATCTACTGTACTAGAACTCTAATCTATCCTTCTGAACAGATCTACTGTATTAGAACTCTACTCTATCCTTCTGAACAGATCTACTGTACTAGAACTCTACTCTATCCTTCTGAACAGATCTACTGTACTAGAACTCTACTCTATCAGAACAGATCTACTGTACTAGAACTCTACTCTATCAGAACAGATCTACTGTACTAGAACTCTACTCTATCAGAACAGATCTACTGTACTAGAACTCTACTCTATCAGAACAGATCTACTGTACTAGAACTCTACTCTATCAGAACAGATCTACTGTACTAGAACTCTACTCTATCAGAACAGATCTACTGTACTAGAACTCTACTCTATCAGAACAGATCTACTGTACTAGAACTCTACTCTATCAGAACAGATCTACTGTACTAGAACTCTACTCTATCAGAACAGATCTACTGTACTAGAACTCTACTCTATCAGAACAGATCTACTGTACTAGAACTCTACTCTATCAGAACAGATCTACTGTACTAGAACTCTACTCTATCAGAACAGATCTACTGTACTAGAACTCTACTCTATCAGAACAGATCTACTGTACTAGAACTCTACTCTATCAGAACAGATCTACTGTACTAGAACTCTACTCTATCAGAACAGATCTACTGTACTAGAACTCTACTCTATCAGAACAGATCTACTGTACTAGAACTCTACTCTATCAGAACAGATCTACTGTACTAGAACTCTACTCTATCAGAACAGATCTACTGTACTAGAACTCTACTCTATCAGAACAGATCTACTGTACTAGAACTCTACTCTATCAGAACAGATCTACTGTACTAGAACTCTACTCTATCAGAACAGATCTACTGTACTAGAACTCTACTCTATCAGAACAGATCTACTGTACTAGAACTATACTCTATCAGAACAGATTTACTGTACTAAAACTCTACTCTATCAGAACAGATCTACTGTACTAGAACTATACTCTATCAGAACAGATCTACTGTACTAGAACGCTACTCTATCAGAACAGATCTACTGTACTAGAACGCTAACATCTTTTGTATAATTACAGTAACATTGGTGTAAGCAAGCTGGATGTCATCTCTGACATACTTAGTAGTCTGTGGTTCTCAATGGTTCGCCACCGATCTATCAAGGGAAACAACTCTGAAATAGATAAGGACGGGCAGGTCACAAAATGTTTGCCGCTGGCTATATCTAGGGAGATGCTGACTTGTCTCCTCTATTTGGTCAAGTGTTGTGGGTAAGTCTGGATATTGTAAAGAGAGGCAGGATTCTATTTACCCTATGGTATTCAATAATACATGTAGTTCTGACTTAAGTCTTGAACATCATGTAACAGAGATTGTGATAATGATAAGATGTGATTTGGATGACCCTGGGTATGGGAGTAAATAATCCAGTATCATTTGAAATTTACCTGCCCAGAAAATTCTTAGCTTACCTGGTCAAATGATCAAGGTTTAGCTTAAACCACACTGTGGTGTCTGTTTTCTGCTCTTTAACAATTTCTTCAAGCAACTTCTGTATCTGAATTTTAACAAATTTGATTGGAAGAATCTTTAGGTGGTTGGAATTCCAAAAATTTACAAAAATAGAGGATCTGGTCATTTCGGAATGAAGTTAAAAAGTGGTCTCACATGATCAAAATAGATATTCCCATAAAAAAAACTAGAAATGGTGATCATTAGATTGTAAGGTAATACATTTATACTTGACATTGCTGATTTTTGATATCAGTGTGATAAACAGTTTTCATTTGCTGACATTTCCTTAATTAATTTTCCCAGGGAAGAAACAAACCGACAGGTATATGCGAAATGCTTGGAGACTCTTGTGTCTGTGTTGAATCACCTGAAGGACTCAGTAGAGCTGCTTAAAGACAAGGGCCATGTGTGTGTTACACCTCTAACTACACAGGATGTCTGTTGTATACTACTCAATTCGGCCAGAATTGTCAAGGACAGAGTCACAGAAACCACCTGTACTGAGGCCTTCAAACTCCTCAATCTAAAGACAAGTCAGGCAGGAAGCAAGGGCATGTCCAGACAAGACGGGAAATACAAAACAGGTCAAAAGGCCATTATTGAAAAAGAAGTTGTGGAAGAAAAAACTGACGACAACAGATCAGAAGGAAATGACACAGACAAGAAAGTTGGTCCATTAAGTGTGGATTTACTGTTGCATTGGCAACCAAGTCTACTTGTGTCATGTCACCCCAGTAGTGATGGTTTCCAGGTCACATGTTCTGTTGCCATGGCAGCAATTTCATTCTTAGTTACTAGTCTTCCATTCGTCAGTAGCAAGACATTGGTTAGTGTTGTGGATTGGATACACCAACATTTTAAAAAAGGTTCAAATCTGGACAAACATTTGAGGGACTCAGAAAAGCATCAGTTTGTAAGGTGCCTCGTCCAGATCTATAATGTATTGTACAGTGTCAGTAGATCTACACAAAGTGGTGACAAGATTGATGTAGATAGTGATTCTGGCACTACAGAGTCCGTAAAACCATATTTAAATGGGATGTTGGTGAATATGAATGAGTTGATGGGTGACATTGCCAGTCGTGAGGAGGGAGAAATGTCGACAGTGTGGAAGGACTTCTTCAGCAATTTGGACACAGAAGGTACAGTCAGGTTGCCAAACAATTTTCAAACAAGTGGAGAATGTACATATTTACATTGGATTTGATCAGAAATGACTCCATTATCCCCTTAAGCTAATTGCATTGAAATTGTTCTATTTTCTGTCAATCTAATACCTCCTTAATAGAACTGTATTTATGCCACTATATTTTCAATAGCATATTCTGTAAACAAAGTCAACATTTAGGGCCATGTAAATTTCTTCCTTTTATGTATTTGTTGTGAAACCAAGGGAAAAGTCAGTTACGTGTACTATATGTAGAAATTATTTGTCATCCATCTGCTTGCTTCCAGATAATCTTGTTGTAATTATATGTGAAGAATGTTTCTCATTTCTTGCACTTGTCTCCCTGTAGGTCTGTGTGTGGAGGATGTGTCTGTTGAGGTGAGGAGGTATTTCCTCGGATGGCCCTCCCCTGGGGACAACCTTGACAGCAAATCCCAGAAAATGGCAGTAAAAAGCTCAAAGAATAAACAAAAGAAGAAGAAGAAAACAGCCAAGGCTTAACTTGGTTCAGTTGAATTTTTGGTCTGTTTTACTGGACCATGAGGAATTGGTGAAGTTGACTAAATTAAATGGAAATGAAATAGTAAATTTCTTCCAACAGAAAAATAATAGTGATCAGTTCAGGCTGTTATAATGGAGAAAAATTGTCTTCATTCTCTGTACATTGTCCATGATTGGTGTATATATGTGTTGTATACTGATTGGCCAATTGCCTAAAGTTTGAATAAAACTTGAAACTTGAATGTAAAAAACTCGTTTTGAGACTCTCAGTATTTCTGATCATGAAATATTTACATGTAAACCATGGACGTTGTACAACCCTTAGATAAACACACCCAATCAAAATTGTTCTTATAAAACAATAAAAGCAATAAATTTTACATGCAACGGTTTACCAGCAAAAACAAAAAGTTTTGCACTGTTAAGAAGTTATTCTGGACTTTTATTGATGAGCATAGAAGACAAAGGCCAGGACTGCTACAACAACAACTTGACATTTCTGTATTGCTTCTGTTGTTATACCAGTTCAAACACCAACTACGGGAACCATAGCTTCTAGGCCAAATTGTTAGTTCACCTGCCGGAAGGGGAGCATATGTCATGGTGCGGCGTCCGTCGTCCGTTCGTCGTCAACTTTTCCTTTAAACAACTTCCTCTGAAGAACGGACAGGCCTAGAGTCATGATATTTGGCTGAAAGCTTCGTTGGTAGGAGCCCTACAAAGTTTGAAAACGAAAATGACCTTGACCTGTTTTCAAGGTCACAGAGGTCAAATATGTCAAAAAATTCAAACGACTTCTAAAGAAGAACTGAAAGGTATAGAATCTTCATATTTGGCTGATGGCTTCCTGGGATAGAGCCCAAAAAAGTTTGAGAATGAAAATGACCTTGACCTACTTTCAAGGTCACAGGGGTCAAATGTGTCAAACACTTCAAACGACTTCTTCTGAAGAACTGAAAGGTATATAATCTTTATATTTGGCTGGTGGCTTCCTGGGATAGAGCCCAACAAAGTTTGAGAATGAAAACTAGTTTGACCTACTTTCAAGGTCACAGGGGTCATATATGTCAAAAGCTTCAAATGACTTCTTCTGAAGAACTGAAAGGTATAGAATCTTTATTTTTGATTGATGGCTTCCTTGGATAGAGCCCGACAAAGTTTGAGAATGAAAATGACCTTGACCTTCTTTCAAGGTCACAGGAGTCAAATGTGTCAGACACTTCAAACGACTTCTTCTGAAGAACTGAAAGGTATATAATCTCTATATTTGGCTTGTAGCTTCCTAGGAAAGAGCCGAACAAAGTTTGAGAATGAAAATGACCTTGACCTTCTTTTAAGGTCACATGAGGCAGATATGTCAAACACTTTAAACGACTTCTTCTGAAGAACTGGTAGTTATAAAATCTTAATATTTGGCAGGTGGCTTCCTGGGAAAGAGCCAAACAAAGTTTGCGAATGAAAATGACCTTGACCTACTTTCAAGGTCACAGCGTTCAAATATGTCAAACAGTTCAAACAGCTTCTTCTGAAGAATTAAAAGGCATAAAATTATAATATTTGGCTGGTGACTTCCCGGGATAGAGCTCACCAAAGTTTGCAAATGAAAATGACCTCAACCTACTTTAGAGGTCACAGAGGTCAACAACATTTTAATGGATTTGTTCTTGAGAACTAAAAGGAATGGATTCATAAGATTTGGCCGGTAGCTTTTTGGAATAGAGCTAACCAATTCGAGAAGGAAAATGACATTGACCTCCCTACAAGATAACAGGGGAAAATATGTCGAGCAACTTCTGAAGAAGAATCAAAAAGCATAGAATCTTATAATAATATTTTGCTGGTAGTTTCAACAGAGGGAGCCAACAAAGTTTGCGAGGGAAATATTTTTAGTGCAATATAATATTTCATGAGAATATTTTGCTATGACTGCTTACATATTCAGGTGAGCGATACAGGCCCTCTTGGGCCTCTTGTTTTATTATTATTTTATTATTAAACCATAAAACGATCAGGCCTAGAAGCTACAGTTCCCGCAGCTATTCAAAGACCACACCATTTTGTAAGAACGGAGATTGTACATGGTCAACAAAATCTAAGTGTTTGCTTAAGGATCTTTGTCCCGCTGAATTGTGGTTTTACCTATATACAGTAACCTCCCCTTAACTTCTACTGGGACATCACTGTAGCACAGTTTGGCATAATATCCTGTATTGGACAGTGGAATGGGGATCCTAAACATATAGTTTTTGCCATGTACAAATAAATAATTAAACCTGACAAAAAAAGAGGGGTTGGCTTTTTACCCGGCATATCAAATTCAGACAACCACAGAGGGCCTGATCTTGAAAATGAAATTCATAGATTTATGACACGTAATGAGGTTTGCCCTTCGCCTTGAAGTTATTAGGTTTATAACAACCAAAGAGGGCCTTCATTATGATATAAGTATATGTAGATAAAAACCAAAGGTGGTATATCTACATCAATATGTAACAGCCAAACCGAGTCTGACTTTACCAAGAGGTCAGTAGGTTTGTTATGATGCTAACCTTGGTCAGATACAATTCATCAGTTAATTACCAAAGTAAAAAGACAACACAACACTTCAAAGTTTGTGAGCATTGGCACTTGCCATTTTAATTGTACTGATAAATTAAGCTTCTGTTTATGTATAACACTGAAGACAATATACATCCATGGTAAATCGTCATTTCGCTTGCTTTTTCTTGCCCTTACTACTGTTTTTCTTGGGAGGTGGGGCATTCTTGGGAGGTGGGGCATCAGCGTTAGGTGTTGTGCTAGTGGAACGGTTGTCTCCCTTAGCTGAATTCTTTCCATTTTTGAGATTAGTTTTGCTTGGGACTTGGGCTGTGATAAAAAAGAAAGAAGGAAAATGGCGCTTGTAGAATTCCCTTTGCATAATGTGGATAATAATGATCCATTTCATCTCAATACAGCACCACAATGTCGACTGATCAGAACATTGATTCAAACATGGCCTCCTGCTTTTAATTTCTTGACTTTGAGTTTGTTATCACCATTTTCTTATAATGAATTTTAAATGGCTGAATAAAATAGGAAGATTATGTTTATTGAGTATGTATGGTGTGGTGGATGGGAGTGTAGGGTCTGCCAATGCTCATAGAGTATGTATGGTGTGGTGGATGGGAGTGTAGGGTCTGCCAATGCTGATAGAGTATGTATGGTGTGGTGGATGGGAGTGTAGGGTCTGCCATTGTTTATGGAGTATGTATGGTGTGGTGGATGGGAGTGTAGGGTCTGCCCTTGTTTATGGAGTATGTATGGTGCGGTGGATGGGAGTGTAGGGTCTGCCCTTGTTTATGGAGTATGTATGGTGCGGTGGATGGGAGTGTAGGGTCTGTCAATGTTGATAGAGTATGGTTGGGGTGGTGGATGGGAGGGTAGGGTCTCTCAATGTTGATAGAGTATGGGTGGTGTGGTGGATGGGAGTGTAGTGTCTGCCAATGTTTATGGAGTAGGTATGGTGTGGTGGATGGGAGTGTAGTGTCTGCCAAAGTTTATAGAGTATGGTTGGTGTGGTGGATGGGAGTGTAGGGTCTCTCAATGTTGATAGAGTATGGTTGGTGTGGTGGATGGGAGTGTAGGGTCTGCCATTGTTTATGGAGTATGTATGGTGAGGTGGATGGGAGTGTAGGGTCTGCCAATGTTTATAGAGTATGTATGGTGTGTTGGATGGGAATGTAGGGTCTGCCAATGTTTATGGAGTATGTATGGTTTGATGGATGGGAGTCTAGGGTCTGCCAATGCTGATTGAGTATGTATGGTGTAGTGGATGGGGGTGTAGGGTCTGCCAATGTTTATGGAGTATGTAGGTGTGGTGGATGGGAGTGTATGGTCTGCCAATGGTTATGGAGTATGTATGGTGTGGTGGATGGGAGTGTATGGTCTGCCAATGTTTATGGAGTATGTATGGGGTGGTGGATGGGAGTGTAGGGTCTGCCAATGTTTCTGGAGTATGTATGGTGTAGTGGATGGGGGTGTAGGGTCTGCCAATGTTTATGGAGTATGTAGGTGTGGTGGATGGGAGGGTCTGCCAATGTTTATGGAGTATGTATGGTTTGATGGATGGGAGTGCAGGGTCTGCCAATGTTTATGGACTATGTATGGTGTGGGGGATGGGAGTGTAGGGTCTGCCAATGTTTATGGGGTATGTATGGTGTGGTGGATGGGAGTGTAGGGTCTGCCAAAGTTTATAGAGTATGGTTGGTGTGGGGGATGGGAGTGTAGGGTCTGCCAATGTTGATAGAGGATGGTTGGTGAGGTGGATGGGGGTGTAGGGTCTGCCAATGTTGATAGAGTATGGTTGGTGTGGGGGATGGGAGTGTAGGGTCTGCCAATGTTGATAGAGGATGGTTGGTGAGGTGGATGGGGGTGTAGGGTCTGCCAATGTTGATAGAGTATGGTTGGGGTGGGGGATGGGAGTGTAGGGTCTGCCAATGTTTATGGAGGATGTATGGTGTGGTGGATGGGAGTGTAGGGTCTGCCAGTGTTTATGGAGGATGTATGGTGTGGTGGATGGGAGGGTAGGGTCTGCCAATGTTTATGGAGTATGAAGGTGGGGTGGATGGGAGTGTAGTGTCTGTCAATGTTTATGGAGGATGTAGGTGTGGTGGATGGGAGTGTATGGGCTGCCAATGTTTATGGAGTATGGATGGTGTGGTGGATGGGAGTGTAGGGTCTGCCAGTGTTTATGGAGGATGTATGGTGTGGTGGATGGGAGTGTAGGGTCTGCCAGTGTTTATGGAGGATGTATGGTGTGGTGGATGGGAGGGTAGGGTCTGCCAATGTTTATTGAGTATGTATGGTGTGATGGATGGGAGGGTAGGGGCTGCCAATATTTATGGAGTATGTATGGTGTGGTGGATGGGAGTGTAGTGTCTGCCAATGTTTATGGAGTATGAAGGTGTGGTGGATGGGAGGGTAGTGTCTGTCAATGTTTATGGAGTATGTAGGTGTGGTGGATGGGGGTGGATGGTCTGCCAATGTTTATGGAGGATGTATGGTGTGGTGGATGGGAGTGTAGGGTCTGCCAGTGTTTATGGAGGATGTATGGTGTGGTGGATGGGAGTGTAGGGTCTGCCGATGTTGATAGAGTATTATGGTGGGGTGGATGGGAGTGTAGGGTCTGCCAATGTTGATAGAGAATGGTTGGTGTGGTGGATGGGAGTGTAGGGTCTGCCAATGTTTATGGAGTATGAAGGTGTGGTGGATGGGAGTGTAGTGTCTGTCAATGTTTATGGAGTATGTAGGTGTGGTGGATGGGAGTGTATGGTCTGCCAATGTTTATGGAGTATGTATGGTGTGGTGGATGGGAGTGTAGGGTCTGCCAGAGTTTATGGAGTATGTATGGTGTGGTGGATGGGAGTGTAGGGTCTGCTAATGTTTATGGAGTATGTATGGTGTGGGGGATGGGAGTGGAGGGTCTGCCAATGTTTATGGAGTATGAAGGTGTGGTGGATGGGAGTGTAGTGTCTGCCAATGTTTATGGAGTATGTATGGTGTGGTGGATGGGAGTGTAGGGTCTGCCAATGTTTATGGAGTATGTATCGTGTGGTGGATGGGAGGGAGTGCAGGGTCTGCCAATGTTGATAGAGTATGTATGGAGTGGTGGATGGGAATGTAGGGTCTGCCAATGTTAATGGAAGTTTATACACATGGTCATGACTCAGTTGGGTTCAAGGAACTCTTGCATGCTATTCTTATTGTTTTGAGTCGTGTTGATTACATTTCACTGTAGTATTTGTCTTTATTGGCGATTTAGATTTTTTTTCATAATTTATTATTTAAATTGCACATACTTGCCAACTTTAAACAAATCCATGTGGGAGTATCCTGTGTTCAAAATCAATAAACATAAATGTGTATATATAGATATACCCACAAGGGAAAATCTTCAAAATGTTATCTTTTGGCTTGTTTGTTTAGATAAGTGTTTTTTATCATTGAATATAGGAATAATTTGGCAAATTCACTGGTTCAAAATGCTCAATTTTAGGGTCCAAAATCGAGAGTTTCTCTTCAAAATAGAGAGGGTTGGCAAGTATGCACTGTATTAGACATTTTATGTAATTCTCTTGTTGGCTTTTCCCCAAACCGTTACATAACCAAAGGAAAATAAATCTGTTTAAGAAAAGACTCTTCTGGCTTGAAGGATATATACATACATGTAGGAGAATCGCTCTTCATGGAAAGCTTACTGCTTCGTCCCCTTTCTTTACCATCCTTGTCGGCTGCTGCGAAGACCTGTTTGGTTTTCTTGTCACGTTGTCTCAGCTTTCCTGTGTACAAAATAAATGGCATGTATTGGAATACAATGTTAAATACCACAGAAATATATACAGCTATTGCATATCGGTGACTACAGGCATAACGTCATGTGTGATAAAACTATTGCTTGCATTTGTACACCGTTAAAAAACTGATACACATTGAGTCATCGCCAGTGCAGGGTTTTCAGAAAATAAAAAATGTAATTTCGAATTCCAAGGACTTAAGATCCATTGGACTATTCCGGAAGTGATTTATACTACCTTATTTAACGTCACTTTAGATTACAATGGTTGAAGAGCATGCATTCCCTTCAAAGATATTCTTAGACAACTTCATGATACAAAATTTTAGTTATTTTATGTTGAAAATAACATCCATTCCAGCACACTTACTCTCCATGAGAGGGTATTTCTTCTCCCAGTCTGTCAGTAGAGGAGTAACTTTTTTGATACTGCCATCTGTTTTTCCTAGAAACACACAATTTACAAGCATATTAAAAGGAATAGTGTCACTCGGAAATACTCCGGTGTTCTTAGTCCCCTAGTGTAACCCCTCGGGGTGATAGGTCGAAAATCTACCTAGTGAAAATTTAAATCTACCTAGAGACTGACCCGCAATTTCTTGCAATGCAAATCTTTTCTTTTTATATAAAAATACATTGACGTCATAACTTGAGAAGTGGTCCTTAAGCCTCAGTCACACCAGATCGCACGGTTTCTCGATTGTGCGACTGGTGGCAATTTGGCGGAGGTACGACCAGTCGGCAATGCTACGATCTCAATTGGCGATCGCTCTTAAGATTGGTGGTATAGGTAATCGTACGACTGGTGGGACGAGTTGTCGTGCGATTACCAACGATTGGACCAGATTGATCGCAATATCATGATCAGAATCGTAAGTAATCGTGCGATTAGTCGTGGCTATCAGCGACTGATCGATCGTGACCACCTGCAATTGCAGCAGGTCGCAGTCGGTCGTGCGATGGGTCGCTTGGTCAGATATAATGGTTCATGCATCAGTCTCTGTCTGCTGGATAACCGAACCGAACTACTCGGTAGTGAAGCGGACGTAAAACCAATCAATCAATCATCAGTCTCCATAGGAGAGCAGCGGGGACTACACTAAGGACGTCGTTCCGTGGACCACAGCCGATGTGACAGCCTGTCCGCATCTGAGGACCTGTCCGAGCGTGACCTGGATGGGTCTAGAACATTTAGAATCTCAGAGGGCCTGGTAAGCGGCAACTTACCCCTTCACGTCAGTGAGCGTAGACGATAAACCCATTAACCAACCAACCAACCAACCAATGCATCAGTCTCGGGTATTCAACTAGCCTTCGAGGAGTGAACTTCGACATAAGGGCCATTATTATACCTCTACTTTATAAATAGAATATATTCCCACTTTTGCCTGACTGTGTTTTAGTCCTGTGTGTTAGTCTGGGAACTAAAACACACCAACACTCGGGTGTTTCCGCCAAGCCAATATCGGTATAATAAAACGGTTAAAGTATGGAATGAGGGATATAGCCAGTTTCTGGGACACCAGAAACTTGCTATATCCCTCAACCCCACACTTTAACTGTATAATATGAGCTTTGAACCCCAGAAGTCGCCCCAAATATACTCGTCCGCGAACTAAAGACTGGTGTGCCACCACCGTATCTTATACCCCGCAAAAAACTTATCTAATCACTGTAAATAATCCCTTTTTTCACGCCTCTGTGCACAGGTTCCCGAAGGCATAATTATCAGTATTGATGGGGCCTTTGTATACTAAAGGAGAAGAAGGGACTGGTCGCACTATCGATCGTGGGGTCGTACTACAGGTGGTACGACCGATCGCAATGTGGCACGACCGGTAGCACGACCAATCGATACAACTTGACCCGCGATCGTGCACGACTGATAGTGCGCCTATGCGCGACTGGTCGTACGACTATGTAAGACCTGTCTGCGACCTCTTACGAATTGGAATCGCAGGCAAGAAGTTTTGAACATGACCGTCGACCTTGCTGCGACTCATTTGATCGTACGAACACCAACGACCTCTGCAACTTGTCGCACGATCTTTCTACGATTTGCCCACGATTCCAACATTTTTCAGTCGCAGCTAGGTCGTATATCCTTATCGCAGGCCGATGTGACTGGGGCTTTACACGTTTAAGTACTACGACTCCAAAAAAACTTACTTAACAGACACTGAGATCATTATAGTATTAGTAAATGTGAACTTTTCGAACAAAAGTATTAAGCTTAAAGACAAAATAAGGTAAAGATTTTCATGACATTTCCTTAATTACTACAATAGAAATTTAAAAAATAGTACCTTAGTGTTCAGAGTTTCTAAAACGATCACATTCAAACACTTTGTATACGTTCTATTTAAAAATCTTCACAACTTACTGAAACTGGGACATTACTATAGCTTTTCCCATTTTCCGATTATTTAAAACAAACTCTTTTATTTGCATATATTCGGCGTGAATTGCCTAGTTAATATTTTTGTTACTGGGCGAGACGTACGGTCAACCTGTACCAGCACAACGGTACTGCGCGGCATGAAGTAGTCAAACATGTTCTCCAGAGGGGGCTTGTTGAACAGTTCCGTCAGATTGGCATATTCGTCACTGAAGTCCACTGTCACTGTAACACCACAAACACACAAGTCGATGAAGCGTGCTGCGAAATCAGAACACATCTAGACAAGGGCAGCGAGGTAAGACATTTTCACATTAAAATTATGAAAAGCAGTCTATTTACTTCATATTGATGTTATCAACATTCATAAAACAAAAAGTACAACTAACATTTACAGTTTGTTTCCCGCTGACTTTCGGCCATATTTTCCTAGAATATTTCCACAGGCGCTGGTCATAGAATATTTCCACTACACGCGCTGGTCATACTAAAGCGACGAACTACATGTATTTATGTAGATGTATATAATGCTTACACACGCCGAAGTAAGGTAAAACCTGAGAATCCCATAGGTCCGTTCTATATCTGTACACAGACTTACCCGAGGGCTCAATGGCACATGTTCTCCTCACGTAGTCCTGTAGTATTACTGCATTACAGTCGGGGTTCACCACAAGTAGTTTACCGTCTAAAACAAATAGTGTATCATTCAATATCGCCTACATACACTACTGGGAGTTCACGTCGCTATCAAACAAAATCACAAAAAATAATGTAAACGTACATGTTTTGGTCTATCCAAATGTTATCTAACTTAAAAAGTTAGCGCATTGATGAATTCGTGCAGCCACAACATATGCAGTACAAAACAATATTTAGAAACATGCTAAAATAACACTACCGCTTAAACGTGTACGTATGTAGTAGCATATCTTTAGAAATTGACAGCAACAAACCTCCATGCTCCACTGTGATAAACATCTTGAACTTGGAACCTGCTTAATTTGCAAACTTTCTTCACGCAGAAATGCTACGTTGCTAAGACCGTACTGTTTGACGTCATAATATGACTGCTGACGTCATAATTCAACAGAGCAATACACAAGCCAGACTATTTTGACGTCAGCGATCTCAAATGACATGCTACCATAACGCCTTAATTTTTAATGTGACATCGACACCACCTTCCTCTGTAGTTTTTCAAAGTTTATACTTAACATTTGCCTAAGTGTATTTTTTTTCAACCTTTTAGCTTGATCTTGACCTTAGCTGTTAAGTCTTTGACCATCGTGCAATGAATGAACATAGTATTTCGATGCGCTTAGAGACACAGTCTTAAATATTCCCAATGTTAAAGGTGTTCATAGCCTGATGACCACCAATCTTGTTGTAATGACCACAGAATATCTCTGATTATGAATTTGTAATTACTATATTGGATTAAAACATTTGTAGGTATTTCATAGTTGCAGACGCTATCTGGACCGACTCGTGTACCAAATAAATTAGCAGTGAATGCTGTGTGACGTTTCGACGGTTCAATAGTATGGTTTTTAGTACCTCCAGTTTATGGAGTATACATACCACATGTGATCTACTGCTCCAGGGCTTGTTCTCGGGGTTGTCTATGTAACAGAAGAAGCAAAATGCATGGTCAGACGGGAATTCGATCCTGGAACCTCCCTAACTATAGACGGACGCTCTAACTAATTGAGCTAGCCTATCTGATCGCCGGCGATCGAACCAGTCCAGTTTCTCGATCTACATTCCTTCCTCCTTCAACAAAGTTTTCGACCCGTAAGACACACGAACCCATATACCACTCTCCTTGCGTGCATTGATTAGTTTGGCGCCAAATGTAACAGGAGAGGAAAAATACACAGCCAGACTGGGATTCGATCTTTGGACCTCGGAATTCCAGACGTACGGGCGCTCTTCCGCTTGAGCTACCTGGTCGCCGGTGATCGACCCTGTCCACCTTCGCTACATAGATCACTTCTTAATGTTTATGCCTTCCTCCATGTTCTAGCGTAACAAACATTGCTAATGTGTTGAGTCGATCTTCGCTAGTGTCACTCCACATAGACTTCCAAATATCCTAAGCAGCAAAGCATTGCCAAGCCCAACCGAGTTTCCATTTCATATGAGATTTATGAAACGAGTCTAAGAATTTTTTATTTTTTGAATGTACTTCCTACATGCAAGTAATGTTTAAAACAGCGGCGCAAAATTATATTATGGGCCACACATCATACATGTGATAAAAGTATGTACGATTGGCTGTCTGAATATTATGACGTAAGTATTAACAAGCTAGTCGGAATAGGGGGCAACGCTCTTTTCTACATGCAAGTAATGTTTATCACTGAAACCTCGAGATTAACTGTTGATCGAAAACGCCAAACAGGCATGCTATTCCTGAGAGTAACCATTCAATAAAGCCATAATAACAGACAAGAACAAGATAAAGATTGGGAATCTTACAAAACCAGTAAAACTAGTCTAAAGAAGTGGCGTATTACCAAACAAAATACAACTTTCGTACTTAAAGAAAATAGAAGGCATAACCGATGTTCAAGACATCATCATTAACCTACATGCGGATGCGACCAAGCTTCTGAACATCAGAGCAAGGAAACAACTAGACTAGTACATCAACAACGGCACGGTACACAACGATTCGAGGAAAGCCAATTTCCAAGAAGTGCTACAATCACAAAACCAGCAAACACAAACCAGAGTCCCCGACACCCACGTGCAGCGTGTTGATTGAGAAGTTCAAAGAAATATAATGGGCTTATGCTACCATATACGCCATCTCATTCATTGTACTACAATCACGAATTCACAGAGAAGAGATTATGCGAGTCTGACCCAGCTCATTATCAGCATAGATCTTGCTAGAACCGTCACCACCAAATCGATAAAACCAAAACAAAGTCAACAAACGGTCAATGAACTAAATGCATTATTTCCAGAAGCATTTCTTCGTCAGATGACCTTAGAGAGCATTTGAACCCTCTGAACTTGAAAGTCGAATAAAGTCATTTCGTTGAACAAACTTTATATCCCTTCATCTCAGCATACAAATTGCCAAATATCACCACCCTAGACCTTTTGTTTAATGAGATTAAGTCATTTAAAAGTTTGTAAATATCTGACCACATGTGACATTGAAAGTGGGTCAAGGTCATTCAAATGACTTGATAGCCCTTCATTCAAATATCAACAGTCTCGGCCTCATGGTTATTAGCTCACGTGCCCGAAGGTCAAGTCATGAGCTTATGTCATGGTGCGGTGTCTGTCGTCCGTCAACTTTTCCTTTAAACAACTTCTCCTGAAGAACGGGCAGGTCCAGTCATGATATTTGGCGAAAAGCTTTGCTGGTAGGAGCCCAACAAAGTTTGAGAACGAAAATGACATTGAACTACTTTCGAGGTCACAGGGGTCAAATGTGTCAAACACTTCAAATGACTTATTCTAAAGAATTGAAAGGTATATATTCTTCATGTATAGCTGGTGGCTTCCTGGTATAGAGCCCAACAATGTTTGAGAACAAAAATGACATTGACCAACTTTCAAGGTCACAGCGGTAAAATATGTCAAATGCTTCAAACGACTTCTTCTGAAGAACTATAAGGTATAGAATCCTGATATTTGGCTGGTGACTTCCTAGGATAGAGTCAGACAAATTTGAAAGAGAAAATGACCTTGACCTACTTTCAAAGTCTCAGGGGTCAAATGTATCAAACACCTCAAATGACTTCTGCAGAAAACTGAAAGGTATATAATTTTCATATTTGGCTGGTAGCTTCCTGGGACTGAGTCCGACAAAGTTTGAGAATGAAAATGACTTTGACCTACTTTCAAGGTCACATGGGTCAAATGTGTCAAACACTTCAAACGACTTCTACCGAAAAAATGAAAGGTAAAGAATCTTCATATTTGGCTGGTTGATTCCTTGGATAGAGCCTGACAAAATTTGCGAATTATAATAACCTTGACCTACTTTCAGGGTCACAGGGGTCAAATATGTCAAAAACATCAAATGACTTCTTCTGAATAATCGAAAGGCATAGAATCATAATATTTGGCTGGTGGCTTCTTGGGATAGAGCTCACCAAAGTTTGCAAATGAAAATGGCCTCAACCTACTTTACAGGTCACAGAGGTCAACAACATTTCAAACGATGTGTTCTGAAGAACCAAAGTAATGGATTAATGAAATTAGGCTGGTAGCTTCTTGGAATAGAGCCAGCAACGTTTGAGAAGGAAAATGTCCTTGATCTACTTACAAGGTCACAGGCAAAAACATGTCAAACACTTCAAACAACTTCTGAAGAAGAACCAAAAAGCATAGAATCATATAATAATATTTGGCTGGTAGTTTCTTTCAACAGATGGAGCTGAGTTTGCGAGTGAAATATTTGTAGTACAGTATAATATTTAATGAGAATATTTTGCTATGACTGCTTAAATATTCAGGTGAGCGATACAGGCCCTCTGGTTCAGAAGAAGTCGTTAAAAGAAATTTGACCCCTGTGACCTTGAATATATGTCAAGGTCATTCATTAGAACAAACTTGGTAGCCCATCATCCAAGCATGCTTATGGCCAGATATCATCATCCTGAGGAAGTTTTCTTTAAAGTTTTTAACATATTTGACCTCTGTGACCTTGAACATAATTCAACGTCATTTATTTGAAAAAAAATTGTAGCCCTTTATCACAGCATACTACTTGCCAGATATCACCACCCTGGGCCTTTTGGTTATTCAGCAGAAGTCGTTTTAAAGTTTTTAACATATTTGACACATGTGACTTTAAATACAGGTCAAGGTAATTCATTTGAACAAAATTGATTGCCCTTCATCCAAGCATGTTATGGGCTAATTATGATTACCCTGGGCATTTTGGTTATTCAGATGAAGTTGTTTTAAAGTTTTTAACATATATGACTCCTGTGACCTTGAACATGGACGAAGGTAATTTATTTGAATGTAGTTGGTAGCCCTTTATCCCAGTTTGCTTCTGGCCAAATATCACCACCCTAGGCCTTTTGGTTATTAAGAAGAAGTTGTTCAAAGTAAAATATTGACGCCGCAGCACAGCATAAGCTCACTTGGCCTTTCAGGCCAGGTGAGCTAATAACCTACAAATACATCTTGAACTACCAGCAAATAAAAGGACTAAAGCCCTCAGGAAACAAAACTCAACTTCAACACACCGTAGAATCATTGTGAAGATGTTACACTGCTTCCTCACCCAACAATAGGTGTCACCTTACAAGAACATCTGGTGCTACCAACAGACACAAGGAATTGATCCTCCAAAAAGACAATAGGCATTTCCCTACAAGGACATGTGGTACTACCATCAGACCCAAGGACTGGATTATCCTGAGACACAGCATGGCTGTCTATAGGCATTTCCCTACAAAGACATGTGGTACTACCAGCAGACCCAATAACTGGATTCTCCAGTGGCACAGCATGGCTGTCTCACCCCACAATAGTTGTTTCCCTACAAGGACATGTGGTACTACCATCAGACCCAATAACTGGATTCTCCAGTGACACAGCATGGCTGTCTCATCCCACAATAGTTGTTTCCCGACAAGGACATGTGGTACTACCATCAGACCCAAGGACTGGATTCTCCTGAGACACAGCATGGCTGTCTCATCCCACAATAGGTGTTTCCCTACAAGGACATGTGGTACTACCATCAGACCCAATAACTGGATTCTCCAGTGACACAGCATGGCTGTCTAATCCCACAATAGTTGTTTCCCTACAAGGACATGTGGTACTAACATCAGACACAAGGACTCGATTCTCCTGAGACACAGCATGGCTGTCTCATCCCACAAAAGTTGTTTCCCTACAAGGACATGTAGTACTACCATCAGACCCAAGGACTGGATTCTCCAGTGACACAGCATGGCTGTCTCATCCCACAATAGGTGCTTCCCTACAAGGACATGTGGTACTACCATCAGACACAAGGACTCGATTCTCCTGAGACACAGCATGGCTGTCTCATCCCACAATAGGTGCTTCCC